ACTCTCCGGTGAACTTACTAACTCCAGACGCCAACCTGAAGTTGGGGGGAATCACCGCAGCTCTGATAGCTCTGCTGAAGCACTCTGGACTAGAGACATGCACCCTGTTGCTGGTTTGCAGATCTCTGTCATGGCCATCTCGGTGAGCTCTGTTTCTGTCGACCAAGCCCTGCACGAGAATAGATCTCGCATCAAAGCCTGGCTCCCTGGGGTTGACTGGAATACCTCTTCCGACACTGTGAGGGCGTCTGTCTTCATGTGGCCGAGGCACGTATGACCCACTCCTTGGAGGAGGCGTGGGCACTCGACAGTGATCATCGCGATCGTCACGGCGATCATACTACTCTTGGTTTCTGTACTGATCATGCCGATCTCCACATCCCTCACACCTCGGGGGAGATCTCGGGCTATGGGCCGACTGAACTGTGTCTACGGCCACGGATCTGCTATGGATCCTATTCCGCGACTGAGACACGACCGTATTCTTCTCTCCCGCTGCCCGGAGCAAGGCTCTGATCTGCACCAGACCTCGGCCAGCTTCTGATTGGGAAGGTTGGATCGACTCTGCTATCCGGGTAGCAGCTGCTAGATTCTGGATCGGTGTTCGGTATACCTGAGTCGAAGGTGGAAAAAGATGGCGTCGACTGGACTCAGGAGCACGTTGTCGAGCGCGACCGTCGAGTGCGCGCTGGAGGTTCTCCTGTCGAGTGCGCTCAGCCAGGTTGGCCAAGCGCGCCTGCTCCAAGGCCTGGGCTTCAGGCGTTTCTCCAACTATAGGAGTATGCAATGCATCCATGTTCCAGCGGCGAAGTTCCTCCCTCTGCTGCGAGGAAAGGGGTTCAGGGCGGTACTCCTCGTGAACGCGCGATGGATCGCCGTTCCCGTTGCCTCCGTCTTCGCGGTTGAAGCCAGAAGGGCTGCGTGGTCCGTTGACCATCAAAACTTCCGTCGCCGGGTCGCTGCTGTCGCACTCGGATGCGGTCTCTACGGAGCTAGTCGACAGATCGAACAGGCCATAGAGAGTTTTGTCGGGCTCGATCGCCGCGACTTGAGGGGTGGCCGACTGGCGGGCCACCGCATGCTTCATCCACCGCTGAAGCCTCGACCGACCGGTGCGTTTGCTCCGGCGGGTCGCAGGAAGGGGGAAAGCTGCTGGAGTTGACTGGTACTGGGTCGACGGTTGCCGCAGGAGGACGCCGCGGACGCACGCGCGAAAGTGAGTCGCCCCGCGGGCGGGGAGCGCGTCGGCATCGAGTGGTGCCTCCTGAAGCCAAGCGGAGTCGTCGGCGACAAACATGAGCGCGCCGAGACGGATCTCGCGACCCTCAGCCAAACCTCCACCTGGAACCATGATGAAGGGGATCGGAAAAATTGCAACTTCTCCAACAAGTCGCTAAGACACCTGCCCCACGGTGGGCGCCAACTGTCGTGGTTCTAAGACTGATAGTAGAATAGGGGAGTAGGAATGTAGAGGCAAGATCCTAGCTATGGAGGAGTTGTACACACGAGTTTACGAGTTCAGGCCCTTCTCGGTGGAAGTAACAACCCTACGTCTCGGAACCCTGAGGCGGTTGACTGAATATATGTGTGTGAATTACAGAAAGTGAGAACCACTATCCTAGAGGAGGGGGGGGTGGCTTATATAGAGTGTGCCATGACCCCAGCTCTCCTTCGTTACACAAGGTTCAATGCTCATAAAGGAGGGGCGTTACTGGTAACGTCTGCAGTAAAGTGTTGTAAATGCCCATAAAGCTATGGTTTAAGTCCTGAGTCCTGACCGTTGCAGAGTGGAGGGTTCCTCATCTTCTGGTGGTCGAGTGTCTTCAAGGTGGTCGAGTGAGCACATCTTCATGGTCGAGTGGATGATGGTTTCTCTTCGACTGCTTCTGATTCTTTGTAGAGATGTCCTTGGGGAGGGTATGTTGGACAGATCCATGACCCTACCCTAGGTACATAGCTTCATCACCACCCATTTATTTTCAGGGGGTACCTCGTTAATTCATGAGCAAAATTTTATGCCACACTAATTCCCAGCATATACCAAACAAGGGAATGGGAGTAAAACTCTACTTCCCATGTCTAATCCCTACACAAACACCCCTGTGAAAACTCCAATCCCCCTGCCAAAATGGTTACCAAATAGGTTGTGGGTTTCATCCCCTTCCACGGACCACCACCATGATGGAACAAGCGAAGGAGCCTATGACTTTGTACGCCGTTCCTTCGAACCTGGAGGCGGCTGGCCGCGTGATCCAGTCCGCGGAATGCAACAATCATCACATCAAGGCGAAGAAGAGGGCGGAAGATGCACTGACAACCAGTCAGGGCGGAGCACGTAAGCCAAAGTGCAACGCTAGGCCGATGTTGCCCAAGAAATCACAACCTTGACCATCCGAGTTGAAGGTGCCCTACTAGTATGCCGCCCATCAGCTCGGCCCGCCCGAAATGCATCAATAGTTCGCCACAACCTCCTTCATTCCCGTCCATCCCACTACAACTGCAAGAACCGCAGCCGCACGGTAACGATCTAGAATCAATCACAATGGCAAGTTGCACTCAGTCACAATCTATCAGACCTCTTGACTGGTGGATTGTGATGGCCAATGAGGGGACTTCGTGAGAGTTCTTCTCTCCAGATCTAGTGGCTTGTATTGGCGAGGTTGTGGGATGCAGCTGGAAGAATCCTTTGTGGGTTTTAGCGGCTCCTAGTCCGTCTAGTTCGCATTCAGCAGTGAGATGAAATCTATGGAAGGCGGCTTGATGTAGACGATATGGTTGTACTTGTACAACGGCGGTGATAGCGCCATCACATCAAGACGGTGCTACCCTTGTAGCTGCTGGGATCTCAAAAAAGTGGTGACGACAATACATGATTGCCTTCAATTTAGTGGTGCTTCTTGAGTACACGGTCTCGAGCCCTGTGATGATAATCTTAGGTCTGACCCAAGTTGGTTATATGGTTATATGTGCCAATTGCGATGTTTTTGCATTGTGACCTTGTTGAAAGCATTGCTTGAATAGGCTCGAACTCGCTCTTTAGGGTGAAACCCTAGGATCTGGCCTTTGGTTGTTGGATCTAATGACGGCGAAGCTTGAGTGCCATTCCCTTCATGAAGGCATTGCTGCTGAAGAACGTCATTGTCCTTTTGGTGTCAAAAGATGGTCGATGCAGATATGGTCATTGGTGTAGTTTGTCCATTGCTGTTTTGACAGCTTCAGGCTTTTTTCCTCACTAAGTGACAGCTTTGGTTTTATATGACTTTGCTATTTGCCATGTGTTTAGTTATGTGTGTGCGTTCATGTGGAATGTATGTATCCTAGGTACGAAGAGGCTGGATATGTGCTCATTATGTCTGTATCCACTTGATACTTCATCTTGAGTTAATAAATTCACCCTTTGTTAGAAAAGGCTAACAAACGTCATAATTGTTGGGACATGAATTTCGCATCCAAGTTTTCCTTTTGAGCCAAGAAAACCTTATTTTCAATAGAGCATATAAGAAAAGAAAGAAGAAACACTAGCTGGCGTTGGGCTACATGTTTCTTTAAGCTATTCATGAACTTTCACTGAGGCATGACAAAACAAAAGTTTTTCATTTATACCAATATAAAAAGATTCAAATGGGTAGATCCAATTAATCTCGGCCATCAAATCATGTCAATCCAACGACCTAGACTGCTTCAATGTCGAGCACTCAACACGTTTAACATGCAGTTAATTTCATGCCAAATATAGTGCTAATCACATAATAACACGCAAATAATATTCTACTTAATATCCGCATGCACTTAATATACTTCCAAATTAACGTGCATTGCACGTACACATTGACTAGTAACATTTAGAAGCTGTTTGGTTGTCAGTCTTAGCTAGCCACGTCAAAGGTGTGGCATGCCAGAACTTTCTAGGAAGACATTTAGTTCTTTACTAAAGTTCGGCTTGCCACAACTCGAAGGGGTTTTGGCTGTAGAAATTTTCGCCTAAGGTGTGGCGCTTGTTTTAGCCGCCACACGTTTCGTGGTGCGTCACAATTGCCTCTACTTAGGCATGACAAACGGAGTGTCCAACCAAACAACTTATTGTTGCCGGAGTATGGCAATTCTTTCAAGTGAACATGGTAATATTCACAACAAAACTATACATTGCCGTAATTTGCTATGTTTATGAATAAATTGCCATGTGTGTTTTAAAGATTTTATAGCATATAAAAAACGTCTGCAAATGCCACCCCCTTTCACTGGCTAAACAGGTCTTTTTTAGGCTCGTTGGGCTACATGTAGATGGGCATGGGCAACTCTTTGTTATCTTGGACTGTTGGTCGGAAGCTCCTATACAACGCTGCAGGCTCCCGTTAATGATCCGGCGTATGCAGCGCTGCTCGCATGGGCCGGCCCACTAGCATGCTGCCTCCAGTTTTTTCAATTTTTTTGTTACGAAAATAAAATTATGAAATCAAGAAAGTTTACAGATTTAAAGAAAAAAGGTTCATCCATTTGAAAGGTTCACCAATTTTGAAAAAAGTTCATCAATTTGAAAAAAAAGTTCATCCAATTTAGCAAAAGTTCATAGAAATTGAAAAAAATTTCATGGACCTGAAGAAAAGTTCATAAATAAAAAAGTTCATCCATTTTCAAGACAAATGTTCATTGAATTTGGAAAAAGTTCATCAATATTCAAAAAAGTTTATCAATCTGAAAAAAACTTTTGAAATTTTTAAAAAGTTCATCAATATTCAAAAAAGTTTACAGAATTTTAAAAAAAATCCTCAACCGGCGCGTAGATGGGCCGGCCCATTTACGGACGCCACAGGCGCCAGTTAGCAAAATGCACGTTAACTGGCGCCTGTGGCGCCAAATAGGAAATGCCCTGTTGGCCTGTACATGACTTGGGCTCTTACTCAACGTGGGCCTCTTCCATCCAGCCTGCTTCTTCCACCTCCCCACCACCGGGCCAGCGTAGACCGTAGCAGAGCCAAGGGTTTCCGGCGCTGGCTGCAGCCATGGCCGCCGAGCGAGAGCCGAACCCCTCCGTCCTCGACGCCGTCGCCTCCCTCCAGACCTACTCGACCGCCCTCTCCGCCTTCACTTCCGCATGGCGCTCCTTCTATTCCGATGCCACCACAATCGACTCCACCCTCGCCTCCCGCCTCGAAGGCTTCTCCCAGCTCGAGCTGCTCTGCTCCGGGATGGACGGGCCAGGCCTCCGCGCGTACCTCGCCGAGCACAGGGACGAGCTCCGGGACCCCGCTCGCTCACTCGATGCCGCCCTGCTGGTGGCCCCCGACCCGGGGCTCCTGGTGCTCGCCGCGGCCGCGGGGTTCTGCCGCTCGCCTCCGACCAATGGCAAGGCGGACGGTGAATCCAAGGTGTCCTGCCGCCTGCTCATCGACCTCCTCGACCGGATTCGCGCGCTCGGCGTGAAGCCGTCGCCGGAGGCGCGAGAGGAGGCCAGGGCTGTCGCGGCGGACTGGAAGCGGAGCAAGCGGATCGAGGAGCAGTCGCTGTTTAAGAATGAGACGATCGCCTTTCTGCTTCTCGTCGGGGTATTTGGTTTGGTGGAGGATGTTGGTGGCGCCGCCCAGGTGCTCGATCTGGTCGTGTCAATCTCGAGCCGGGAGCGCGCCGTGGAGATCTTCCTCGGCCTTGGCCTCGACCTCGACAAGCATCTACCAGGTAAGACACATTTTCCTCGCCGTATGAAAATTAGAACTGCATTATGCTCTGTGCAACCATGTTGTTCAGTAAATGTGTGTTTGCATCTTCCGTTGACTATGCCTAGCTAAGCAAGTATTTCTAGCTAGCACAAGCTACAGGATGCAACGGCTAGGCGATTTGTTTGGTTCATCTTCATCTAGCTTTCTACTAGCTAGCCATGAAATATGAGCAGTGGTTATCATCACAGTAGCACCTGCGGCTCACTTTTCTCGTTCTTGCTGGTTTTTTTAGTCCATTGAAGCTAGTTTGATTGGCAAAGCTGGTACTAGGTATGGCTAGCAATGGTGCCCAGGGGTAACCTTTATGTTAATCATTTCTTGAGTAGACTGCCAATATTCTAGTAGCAGGAATCCAACACTCTGTTATCGATAGATATTGCCACAGACTGCAACACAATGTTCTGTTAGAACTTCCCCGTGGTGATTCTTGCGTATTTTTATTTTATTTGCATTTAAATCCTGCAACCTAGAGCTGTTTGTGAATATGCAATTTGGAGATGCTCTTGTTGAGGTACAGGATGAAACGATGATGCTTTTGCATTTTTTTTAAAACTCTTCACCATCATGATCTATTTGCAGTTAGATAGCACAGATTAGTGTCTGATAGTTTTGACTGGCTATGTTTAAGTTGTTCAGGTTGACGGCACTTGGAAGTACTATATTAATTTTTTATGTTGAACTTTTCATTTGGAATATCATGATTTCATAGGACATTTGTCATCTGCCCTTGCTCCTTAAATCATCTATTTTATTATTAGTATTTCTTTTATTCTCACGCTGTAGCTTTATTTCTATGTTGGTTTACCCACCTACCATCTTCCTGGATTTGTTGGGTCGATGTAGGTTCCATTCCACTGTAATGGGTCGGTTTCGTTCCTGTGTTTGGTTGGGATATTTGATGGAATGGAATGGTTACGTTTCAGTGTTTGGTTTGAGTGATGGAATGGAATGGTTACGTTTCAGTGTTTGGTTTGAGTGATGGAATGGAATGAATTCAGTTCAAAACATCTCCTGTATAAAAATGATGAGGCTGCCTCTCATATGCATAGATATACAATATGACCAAGTATAAAATCTTTGTATTTCTGGAAACATAATATTGAAACTTACCGTAGCATTTATATTGAATTGTACTTTGACATCAAATATGGTATTCTCTCAATGGAATATTTACATTGAATTGTTTCCTATTGAGAGGACATAGACAGGGTAAAAAATCATGAATGGGCACAGAATCAAGGATTTTGCTCAATATTTTTTGACTATTTACATTAGATTGGATTTCAATCAAGAAAAATTGCTCACTGATGACCTCGAGATAGTAGCACATCAACGCTCTTGCTGCTCATAGATGGAGCCCTGTCCATACCGAGCGGAAGTAGTGCTTGTCCCGCCGGATAGGTGGCTGTCGCAGCCTGCGAGGGGATGGCCGCCGCCTCATCAGATCAGGTCGCCGCCACATCAGATCAGGACGTCGCCGCCCATCCCATAGATCAGGTCACGGCCGCCTCTCCTGTGGATCCGCTGGCCTGGTCGCCGCCGCCCTGCTGTGGATCTGCTGTCCTGGTCGCCGCCGCTCATCCGCCGGACTTGGAGAGACGAGCGTGGAGGAGCGACGGGAGACGAGAGGGGTTGGGAGAGACGGAGAGTGCGTCGGGTGGGAGGTGGAGTGGGCGAGAGGCCGTTCTGCGTCGTTCCACCAAATTGGAGAAACGAGTGTGTTCCGGATATTGGCGGAATATTCTCTTTCGGGGAACGAGTGGGTTCTAGTCCGTTCCCATTCCAAACGCAAGAACGTGGCCCAGGGACGGGACGGACCCGTGCCATTCCGTTCGATGACTGAAACTAAACAGACCCGTAATGTTGATATTATTTTGGGAGGCACATATTGCTATATCCTTGTATTTTTCTTTGTGTCCAGTTGTTTCATCTGCATCTTTGGGTCGATGTTTCATCAACATGCTATTTACTTTCCTCAAGGTCTCTCCTAACTGTAGCCTATTTTAATTTAGGCATATGAAATATTTTATGCTTCTGCCATTCTTCAATTCTGATGTCCGTCACTCTATGCTAATGGATGACTGAGCCTGTTTATGTTCTTGGTATTATCTTTTGAGCTTGAACTCCAAAATATTGCTGGGGTGCATAAGGGCTCTTAGGCCACTTTTGGCACTGTGGTAGATTATAATAATCTTGTTTGCCTAACCAGCCTTTCCCTATCTTTTGGTAACCAGCTCCTTCCTGCTTTCATGGGTATTTATCCACAGCACATCGCTATGAAACAAGTTCAGTGTAACACAATTAGGCAACTGCAAGCTGAGCCTTATTGTCCTATGTCAGTTTATCCACGATCATCCTGAGCTTACCCAATAAAATCACTTATTTCACTTGTTATCTTTTGAGTCTATTAACTAGTGAGCTTATAACGTAAGTGCAAGGCAGGGCAGAAGGGTTGAATATGAACCGTTCATTCCGAAAAACCCCAAATGATAAGTCTTATTTTGGAGATTATTCTGTAAAAACTCCTAGCATTGATTTGAGTGTTGCTCATATCGTACATTGTTACTGTTTGTTTCAGTTGCCAATTTGCCTTGGCTCATGAGTTATTGTTGATTGTTCTCTGATTTTGCTGTTAGATTTTTAGGCTTCTTCATGTACTCCCTCCGTTCCATAATAAGTGCCGTGGTTTTAGTTCAAATTTGAACTAAAACTACAACACTTATTATGGAAAGGATGGAATAAACACTAACTTTGTACCGTTGAACACTATAATGTGACCTGTGAAGCTGTGATGACACCTTTGTAAAACGATTGCCAACTGTTGGGATTGATTGGCATTGGCATATAGCGAATGCTGCAATTGTTCCCATTCAATGCCCGAGTCATGACCCCATGGCTTTGTTCAGTAACTTTGCAGTTTATTTCCCTGTCTTAGCTTGCTAACCGCTTCTAAATTCCCTACTTGAGCAATCTTTTCAGTTTTGCTTTGTTTTCAGCTGTATAATATAATATATTTCTTCATCTGTTTTGTGATTTGCCTGTATAATCATGTTAACACTTCTGTGCGCTAAATCTATGTGCTTATTTGGGAATTATAATTCACATTCTTGTTCTTTCCTCTTTTCTCCTTTTCTCCCTAAGGCACTCTTGTTCAGATTGTTACACGCTATTTATTTCTGCAAGGTCACTCGTAAGTCCTAACCGAAGGCTATTTTAATTTAGGTATATGAAAATTTGAATGCTGCTGCCATTCTTTAATTCTGATGTCCTGTTAATGGATGAACTGAACCTGTTTCATCCTTGATATTTAGAAACATTATAACCGCGCATCTTTCCAACCATCTCAGACCACTTGCATTTCTGGCCATTAGATATTGAGATCTATGCGTTTCCGGCCGTCTGATTACCTTTGCGGTCGCGTTGGTACGTCGTTCAGTAATCACGAAGCGGTACATAGTGGTGGGCCGCTGCTCCAGTAACATTTTCGGTCGTCTCCTGTTAAAATGGGCCTGGTGGGTTTTCTCTTCGATGGGGAACTGGTGGGCTTAATCGTGTTGTGTGTGTATGAGGTCGGTCTCCCTTGGATGGTGAGTTCTGCGGCAGCTGTGGAGTTGTCCCGGGGCAGCATGGGCGGTCAATTGAAGTGCGCCGTTGAATTGACGAGTTAAGGTGCCGTTCCTACTAGCCATTAATGTTAGTTAAGGTAGGCGACTCCTCTGCGGTCGATGGCGGAGTTTCGTTTAGTCCCTTTGCCTCCCTTCTCCTATTTATATGTCCTCACCCAATCTTCCGCCCCGATCGGTGTTTCCAGCTACTCCGGACGAATATCCAGGGGGGTCGAGCTATCGGTGTTCGCAGACTCCGTCTCCTGCCGATGGACGCCGACTGGTGAGTTCTCGACGGCGTCGGCATACTCTATCCAATTCGAGGGAGAGAGGCGCACAAATTTCAAGCACAACATCCGATGCGCCGCTCAAGTGTAAGGTGTTCTCATGGCTCGCAATCTTGAGAAAGTTTCTGACGGCAGACAACTTGGCAAAGAGGGGCTGGCCGCACAACCCTTCCTGTTCCCTGTGTTCTGCTGCTTCGGAAGACGTGGTTCACATGCTTGCCAATCGCCCATCCGCTTAGGCGATGTGGGAGCGAACGTTGGTGGGCCTGGCCCGGGCGACGCTGGTGGCAGCGGCCCCCGGCCATTCCCCTCTCGGTTGCTCTCCGGCGCGGGGCGGAGGGCGCCGGGGGGTGCTCCCTAGGCGGCGGCGGTCCGGCATGGCGGCGGGGCTTCCTGGCGCGGCGCGGGAGATCGGCTGGACGGCGGCGTCGCCGTTGGCGGCGGGGTGGCGCGGCCAGGCGGCGCCCGCTCGGCCCAGATCTGGGCCCTTCGGACCCCATCTAGGTCTGGGCGGGCCAACAGCGGGGCGGGTCGACGACGTGGCTCCCAGGAGGCGAGGGAGCGGCGATGGGCGTTGGGGTGCTGGCGGTGCTGGCGCTGTCCTGCTGCAGCGTGGCCGGCGGGGCTTAGCGGGCCCGATTCGGGCCTGGCCGGGCCAGGGGTGGCCTGGTATGCCCTGCTGCTGCGTCCGGACGGTGACCGCGACGGTGCCGGAGGCTCAAGCCTCCTACACGACGGCGGAGGAGGTGGTTCCCTCCCGCGCGGCTACGGCGCTGCTGCTCCCATCGTCCAACGCCCCCTCCTCGTTCTCTTGGCCTCGTGGTGGCGATCTCAGTGAGGCGGCGTGGGTGGCGTTGCGACCGCGGTGGCGCATGCTGGTGGGCGGTGGGCGGCGAGCTGGTTGGTTGGCTTCGATCCGGTTGGGCGGTGGGGTTTGGAGTTGGGAGAAATCCTTGCCGGATCTTCCGGCTCCGGTGCGGTGACGCCTACGGGTGCCACCATTCCTCCCTGGAGGGTGTCGGTGGTCTTCATTCCCCTCTACCCTCCGTGTGCCGGGGGAAACCCTAGGATACGTCCGGGCAGCAGCGTCGTCGGCGTCGTTTCCTTCCTGGAGGTGCTGCTTGGTACACGGAGGATCGGAGCCTAGGATCGTGGTGGGTAGATTTCGGAGGGCGCAGTGGTTGTAGGTCATTCGCGTCTGTCGAGCTGCCGGTGTTGGCATTGTTTCTTTTTCTTTTTCTTTGGCTTGTTGTGCTGCTCGCCCCAGCGTTTGCTCTGTAATCGGTGTTGGTGCTTTGGAATACAAAGCGGGGGGAAACCCTTTTTCGGTATGTGGGAGCGAACGCTGCAGTTCTGCAACCTTCCGTCCTTCCGATCGACAGAGCTGCACTGATTCTCTTTCTCTGTTGTTTTATACCTTGCACAACGGGCGCTTGCTGTTTCTTGTAATGCTCAGCCTAAAACTCTCCTATTATTTCTTCATCTATAATTCAATGAAAAGCTGCTCCGCCAGTCAAGGTCCCTCGTTGTTTCGCTCTGTTTAAGGTACAGTGATAATTCAATGAAAAGTTTATTTTTTATTTCATGTCCTCTTGTTGCTACAGGGAAGTTGAACAGCAACAACACCTAGAATTTTAGGTGACTCACCAGCAACCATGGAATGTTCTCCTATTATGTATGTTTTGTCGGTCTCTTTTCCTTTTGCCTCCGTGGAGTCTCGAGATAATGATATGCCTGCATCAAATGGGCATAGATTTTAATATTTTTCATTATCAACGTGACCTAAATACTGAGATCGTGGATTACTATTTATCTATGGAAATATACGCCTCCACATCACCGAACATGTCTTACGATAATAAATTCTATATGGTTCTACAATATTGTCTATATCAGATTAATCTTTCATGGGATATTGGCATGCTGTGCCACACAACCCTTCAGTTTATTTGTCCACACTTAATATTGTTATAATGGTACTTTCAGGAAATTTTTATCCAGGTAAGCATATTTCTTTTTAGTACTGGTGGGTGCCCTCTTTCTAGACAAATAAGTATATCACGCATTGTCTTGACGACATAGCATTCCCGAGTCCAGGTTGTAACTTTAAAGTTTGTTACCTTATTAAGTTAATGAAATTTCTATCCATTTTTCGTACAACGACAATTTTGCTTCCACCTACACACATTCATCTGTTTTTGGTCAGAAGATTGATTACCCAGTTCCTTTTCAGTTTTGTCGGTGCACTCCTACTTGGCAATCCAAGCTAATAGCCTGGATTTAGCTACTTATGCACAATGAAACTTCTACTTGGCAATACAAGCTAATTGCCTGGATTTAGCTACTCATGCAAAATGAAACTTCTAATTGGCAATCCAAGCTAATTGCATGGATTTAGCTACTTATCCACAACGAATGTAGCATGCATACGAAATGAAACAAGGGAAACTTAATTATGTTTACTATGTTATTGCCGAGTTATCTTTTTGTCAATATGTGGGCTATTTTATGCAACTTTCACCTATATATTTCATGTTTATATATATTTAATTATTTACTATGCAAGTCTATGTCATTCTATTGGAAAAAATGACGGACGCAGCAACGCGTGCAATTTTTATAGAAATTCCTGTGAGTGTTATTCTATCATATGATAAAAATGAGGATCTTGCAAACATACAACCATCTCAACATGCATGTTTCGTGTCTATTTCTATGCAATTACCTAACTCAATGCCACAATGGATGGGTGCGGCAACGCGCGCCACCAATGATCTAGTTATCTTTTAAGCTTCAACACCAAATAGTAGGTGGAGCTATTCCAGGGGATGCGTAATGGCTCTTAGGGCACGTTTGGCATTGTGGTGGATTATAATAATCCTGTTTGCCCAACCAGCCTTTCTCTATTTGAACGTTTGGTAGCTAACTCTTTCCTGTTTTCATGGTTATTTTTATGTAGCACCCGGTTATAAAATAAGTTCAGCATAACACGATTCAGCAAGTACAAGCTGAGCCTTATTGTCCTATATCAGTTTATAGGCTGAGTTTATCCGCGATCATCTTGGACTTGTCCAATAACCTCACTTAGTTTTGCTTTATTATCTTGTGAGTCTAGTTACTAGTTGTAAGTGAGCTTATAATGTAAGTGTATGGCAGGGTCGAAGGGATTAAATTTGAACTGTTCATTAGGAGAAACCCCAAATGATATGTTTTCTTTTGGAGATTGTTGTTAGCTTTATACTGTTCTGTAAAACCTCCTAGCAGTTTTGTATAGTGCTCATGGTTATGTCAGCTAATCTTTGATTTGGTTATTGTTCATATCATACTGGTTTCAGTTGCTAACTTGCCTTGGTTCATGAATTATTGTTGAACTTTTAAACATTGTTCTCTGATTTTTCTGTTAGATTTTTAGGCCTCTTCATTTACTCTATACACTAAATTTGTATGTTGTAGACTGCATCATGTGACCTGTGATGACACCTTTGTAAAACAACTCCCAAGACTGATTGGCATATAGTGAATGCTGCAATTGCTCCCATTAATTGCCTGAGTCATGACCTCATGGCCATGTTAGTGTGCAGTTTATTTCTCTGTATTAGTTTGCTAACTGCTTCTAAATTCTCTATTTGAGAATCTTTTCACCTTTGCTTTGTTTTCAGCTGTCCAACATAACATATTTCTTGATCTATTTTGTGATTTGCTTGTATAAATGTATAATCATGCTAACACTTATAGTTGGGAATTGTAGTTCACATCATTGTTCTTTGCCTTTTTTTCTCCTCCTTTTCTCCCTAGGCACTTGGTGCTGTTCTGATTCTATGTGCTCAGTTTGGAATTTTAGTTCAATTCATCGTTTATTTCCATTTTTCTCCCTTTTCTCCCTAGGTTGTACTAATTTTTATACTTGGTACTTTAAGCATATCTTTGGAGAATTTTTTGGGAAGGCGATGAGTATCGAATACAGCTCTGCCCAACATTAAGTGACATAGATGAGAGGATTTAATTATATCTGATCTTCTTGTTTGTTCGGCCTGTGTGTGGTGTCTGTTTGTTCACTTCATTCTATTGTGTAGCCTTCTGGTTTGAGCTTTATGTTGTAAGAGTCAATTGTATGTTATTTTCTGTTCCACCTTGTTAGTTCTATCAGCTGAGATGATGAGAATATTAATCTCCGCATGTTTTCTTTGCACCAGTTCTCACTCAGGCAATGATAAACAAAGGCAAACAGCTCGATGCAGTCAAATTTATCCAAGCTCTTAATTTAGTGCACAAATATCCTTTATTGCCTATTCTTAGGTCATATGTGAATGATGCAAAAAATGCTGGGAACATGATCCGCATCAGGGGAGACGGTCCTGCCTCTCAGGTAGCTCTGCTGCCTTGAGTATCATCTATTATGAACATCATGTATTCATGGTCGTCTGAATTGTCGTTTCTTAAAATGCTTCGGCAGGATGCAGGTGATGCAAAAGAGCGGACATTGCTCGGAGCATTGCAGAAGTTCATTAAAGAACACAAACTAGAAGAGCTGCCTATTTTGGAAGAAGCTAACAACAGAATGACACTATTGGATCTGCAAAGTGCAGAGAGAAAGCGAGCAGCCAATGCTGCTGCTGCAGCTGCTCGTGAAGTAAGTAAGAACATTCTGGACTCCAGGAAGAGACCACAGCTTCCAGAGAGTGCCGTACAAGGTTCCTTAGGCCAGAACACCCGCCCGGTAGGAACATGGAGTCAGGAGCTCATGTTAAGGCAGAGCCTCCCTACAGCTAGAGTTGCAAATAAGTACCAAGCTGTTTCTAGCCATAACATAGTTCCAGCTACCGCTCATGATCCATTGCTTTCTGTTGGGAACCAGCGTCCCATTGGCATCCAGAATGAGACCCTGGCTGCTTCATCTGTTCAGACTCAGTACAATGGCGGCGTGGCAGACTTCTATAATTTGGCGTCGATCAGATCAGGTGGTTTGAGTGTTCCAGGTGCCAGCGCATCATCAAGGTCAAAGCTCTATTCTGAAGACCCCCTTGCGTATGTCTCTCGAGCATCCAATAAGAAGGGTTCATCTTACAGTTATTCTTTGTCTAATATGTCGAAGTATAATCCGTAGATGATGCTACCTGACATCAAGCGTTGGTATGGATCGAGACCTGCTTAGATGCTAAATATAGTTGTATATATCTCTATTGATGTTTTAGTTGCCGTTATGTAATTAACAGTGTCAAACTTTGTCAATCTCGGACCAAAAAAAAAAACTGAATCAATGTCAAGCTTATTTTGGTGACTCAGTGTTGTGTTGCACCTGCACACTCTGCCGTACTTTTAGCTTGTTCTAAAGAGAACTTTGAGTGGGGTTTTTCTAATACTCAAACAACAACATTGTATCTATTTTTTGTTGCGTGAAACAACATTGTTTGTAACCTTGCAGCGACGGCATATGTTGTTTCAATGTGCAAACGCCAAGGAGCTGTGTAACTGATTGGTACTCAGATCACGCCATCATCATCGATGGAAGCAATGGCTATGCGAGATGGGCTAGTTTTTGCTAATTCTCTTGGTTTCCATCGGGTTCAAGCAGGATCTGATTCTCTAGATGTCATCAAATTTTGTACTGGACAGTCACGGTGGTGGGATGCTGCAGCAGCAATTTTGGCAGAGTGCGTTGATATGGCAACATATGTTAGAAAGGTCATGTTTAGTCATTATCCTCGAGCAGCTAACATGTGGCCCATGAGCTAAGTTAGTTTTTGTAATTAAGTTTGTAATAATTGGGTTGACGAGCATTCAGGCAGTATTGTCAACACACTTGTAGATGATGTAACCGTGATATAAGTTTAATAAAGCTAGCCATGGTGGCTTTCCTAAGGCATTATCATTGTTTGAGCATCTATTTAACATTCAACAGAAAATGACACTGGCTGCAGAACAAGTATTATGCAAAATTTAAATTGTGAGTAAGACTAAAAAGGGCCAATTCTCACTTAGTTTAAAATATAGTTGAAGATGCAAACAATTACAACACTTACCAGGTAATGCAACAAGAATTGTAACTCGGGTTACTTTAGAACTGTAAAATTCATCATCAAGCGATACCTCCACTATCAAATTATATAGAACACCTATAAACTACTACCTAAATACAAGACGTTTTTTCAGTTCAATTTGAACTGCAAAAACGCCTTATATTTAGTTACGGAGGTAGTATAAATCAAATTCTTTGGAATTGTAAAAAATTAACAATACTAATTCTGGGAGAAGGTGAATAAATTAATACCATAAAAACATGAAAATAATTCCAGCAGTACTTCAATTCACAACAAATGTGAATTTGAACAGAAGGAGCCATAAAATGGGTAAATTTAGAATAATTTTTTTTCCGAAAAGAGGGGAAATGCCCTTGGCTCCGTATCGAGTATTTCTTGACTATATGCTAGTACAAGGGAATGATATACAAGGGAACAATTAATATCATCCATGAACTCGAGACCAAAATGAGTGCTCCCTGCAACAAAATACCGGCAAAAAAAAAACTCAAGACAAAAAACCTCCTGCCAAAGTTTCCAGTATTAATCATAGCGCACTGTCCGACAGACAAAAATTCAAATGAAGACACAAGAAAATGACTGTAAAACAACAATTATGTTTATAAAACTGCAAATATTATCTAGTTACCTCAAAGTATTTGAATCTGGACACACAACAAAGTATGCTACAATGACAGACACAAACATACCCAAGCTCTGGGCGACCACCTTACAAAATCCTACACAGGAACGCTCGTACTGTTCGAACTACCAGCGGTTAATCTTGAGATGATGCCATCGTTGAACCATAAGGAGGTCATTCCTATCGGTTGTTGGTACTTGTGGTGGATTCAGAGGCAAATTACTCACAATGAACCAGTCCCACCTTGGAAATTTTCTGAAGCCAAACTTGAAGAGCCCTAGTAATCCTGATCACAAGGGGAGTAAACATGAACCCAAGTTCATCAAGGTAAATGTCGAAGCGTCATACCATGAAGACGAAGGTTCAGGCGCCACTGCCTTTGTCATACGCGACAAGAAGGGCTACTTCCTGGCTGCTCAATGCGAGTACGTCCCTATTGCTTTCGGATGCTATGATGATGGAAGCGATGAATATGTGAGATGGACTTTTCGCTAATTCTCTTGTTTCCATCAGGTTCAAGCAGAATCAGATTCTCTCGACGGGACAGTCATGGTGGTGGGATGCTGTAGCAACAACAAAGTTTGTAATAATTGGGTTGACCTTCCAGGCAGTATGGTACTTCTGGACGATGTAACTGTGATCTAAGTTCAATATAAGTACTTCCTCCGATCCATAATAAGTGTCATAGTTTTGAACAAAGATCTAAACTAACACACTTATTTTGGATCGGAGGGAGTATTTAACACTCAATTAAAAATGAATTGACCTTCATTCAAATTTTAGTCAATTACAAGCTGACAGTTGTATGCAAGCAATTAACTTACACTGGCTGCAAAGTATTACACACAATTTACTTTGTGAGCAAGACTAAAAAGGGCTAAAAAAATGGGAAGATAGTTGGATCCCACAATCTCCATCCAGGAAGGTTATCTCTAGTAGAGGGAATCACCTCCTCTCTCGGGTGTCAGAGCTTATAGATCCAGTGTCAGATGACTGGGATTCGGGGTTGATAAACCAAACATTTTGTAGTGTTGATGCTCAAAAAATTCTTGCAATCCCACTACTAGTATATGAAATGACAGACTTTTTAGCTTGGAGTTTTACTAAAACAGGTGGGTTTACTGTAAAATCAGCATATCACGCCGTCTGGGAGTCAAAATTTGGCCACAATTCGCAAGGTACGACGAGTTCTTCCTCGCCAACACCTACATGGGATTCGGTGTGGAACTTGAGAGCAACTAGTTAACGACCGCTCCTTCGGGAGCCTCGCAACGATCAGCGCCACTTGGCGTCCTCTTAGCCATTCGCCACGTGTCGCGCTCTGGGCGCTCCCTTCGAATTTTGTTTTTTTAATTTTTTAAACGGGTTTTTTTCGACGTTTTTGCGCGAAAAAACGCGTTTTTTTCTTTCGCGAGAGTCACGGCCGTGTCTCTCGAAAATGAAAAAAAAACGTGTTTTCTGTTTTTTTTCTTCCACGAGAGGCACGGGTGTGCTTTCGCGAGTCACAGTCGTGCCTCTCGGAAACGAAAAAAAATGCGTTTTCTATTTTTTTTCTTTCGCGGGAGTCACGGTTTTGCTTCCGCGAGAGGCACGATTGTGCTTTCACAAGAGGCACAATTGTGCTTTCACGAGAGTCACGGCCGTGCCTCCTCATGGAAAAAAACATGTTTTCTCTTTTTTTTTTTCCTTTCGCGAGAGTCACGGTTGTGATTTCGTGAGAGGCACGGGCGTGCCTCTTTCGGAAAGGGAAAAAACCCGTACTTCCGGTTTGTTTTTTTCGTTCGGTTTTTTTCGTGAAAGAAAAGTTCATCAAAATCTATCAACATGGGATCTAGTTTTGAAGATCTCGACGCGAGGAATTCAACGGTGAAAGCGGTTCGAGATTTGGACGCACGGTTTGAGAGATAAAACATTTTGAATAAACGGATCTACGAAAAAAGGGAAAACTCCCGGGCTGCGACAAGTGGTGCGCTGCATGTGCGCCACTTGTCACAACCAGGGGAATTGGACTGATCTTTGCAACGAGTACTCCTCAATTAGTGATTTCGAACTTGTCTAGTATGCAACCAAGGACCGGAGAGTATCCGTCATCTGCTATTTGAATGTCCAGTTGCGGTTCAGGTTTGGAAACTCCTTGGAGTGTGGGATGTTATACAGAGGGGATTGGCGATGAACACATGTGGGGAGGTTGTGTTGGATTTTCTTCTCAGTCTACCGGACGATCATATCCATGTACTAGGATTGCCGAGACTGCGAGAAACGGTGGCTACATGATGTTGGTATATGTGGTGGGAAAGGAGGAAAATTACATACGGAGGTGATCCACAAACGGCGCCACAGATCAACCTTGCTGTACGTTCCGTGGCAGAGAACTTCATAGCAGCGAATTCCCCACGGCCAAGAGTTCGTTTGGGAGGTTGGATGAGAAAGTACCTGAAGGTTCAGTAGGTGCTGTCATTAGAGACCACAAAGGCAAGTTTATAGCTGCTGCGAATGAGAAACTTGGACTCTGTTATAATGCTTTTACCGCAGAAGCAATTGCAATCAGATTCGGCCTAAATCTTGCTCGCACAACCGGATGTAGCAAAGTTGAAGTAAATTCAGATAATGTGGAGGTGATCGCAGCGCTCAGAGAGGGCTATTCATCTTCGGTGGCCAGTGCGATTTTTGATGATTGTTACTTCATGTCTTTAGATTCCAATCACATTGTTTATGAGCATTGTTTTAGAGAGAACAATAAGGTAGCACACAAATTAGCTAGTCTAAATAGATCCAATCCTTCTAATGTATGGATGGATGTTGCCCCGATGGCTGTCATCCCCTTGATTGGCTCAGATGCTACAATTGTAGCCAATTAATAAAGGAGATGCTTATAAAAAAAAGGCTAATTCTCACTTAGTTGAAAACATAGTTGAAGATGCAAACATTTACAGCATTACAGGGTAGTGCAACAAGAATTGTAATTTATCAGCAATACCTCCTCAAGTTCTTTGGAACTGTAAAAATTATATAGTACTTACAAACTAACAATACTAATTCTGGGAGAAGAAGAATGGATCATAAAGAAATACAAGGCAAGCATGGAAATAATTTCAGTAGTACTTAAATTTGCAACTAATATAAATTCTAACAACAAAAATAGAGAGCTAGCAAGAATGAACCATAAATGAGTAATTTAGAATGATTAATTCAAAGGAACCAAACATAGACAAAAATAACAACATGAAAAATGAGTGCCCCCATGCAATAAAATATCGGCCCAGACTCAAGAAGAAAGGCCTCCTGCTGAAGTTTCCAGCATGAATCATAGCATGATCGGGCAAAAAAATCGAATTTAGATGAAAAAATCGCCTGTAAAATAGCAATTCTGTTTATAAAACTGCAATATTTATCTAGACAAATACCTCAAACTATTGAAATCTGGACACAAAACATTGAAACAAAGTACTGCTGCCATACATAGTGCATACGTCACCCCTAACAAACCGAACACACAGAAACCACAACGAAATCACCAAATTACAATTAATATCAACCATGAATTCAAGACAGAAAGACCGGCCCAAATTCAAAGCAAAAAGCCTCCGGCCGAAGTTTCCGACGGATCGTAGCGGACAATCAAGCATGCAAAAATTCAATGAAGACGAATGTTGTTGAATGTTGACAGTAAAATAGCAATTCTGTTCAAATCTAGACACAAAACATACTCCCTCCGTCTGAAAATACTTGTTGGAGAAATGAATGTCTAAAGTACCGCTGCCATACATATTTAGCGCTTACAGCACCCCTAACAAACCGAACACACAATAGAGAAACAAACTACCGAACACACACACCGCTTCCGCTACTACAACGACACAGACACAGACACACAGACGCAAAG